CCAAGTAGGCTAGGTTACTTTGACATCGCCACCACGCCCAGCTAATTTTTTTGTGTTTTTAGTAGAGATAGGGTTGACCATGTTGGCCAGGGCGTGGTCCTGAAACTCCTGACCTCAAGTGATCCCCGCTTTCGGCCTCCCAAAGTGCTGGGGGGATTACAGCATGTGAGCCCCTGCGGCCCAGCCTGGAAGATTTTATATTATATACCAAATAATACGCATATATACGTAATAAATTCTATAACTATTAAAATGATATAAACAGCTCATTTTATCATATGTTTATATATTTAATACATTTTATTACTATTATAATTATATTTTTTAATATAATGTATATTATATATTTTATATATTTAATTTTATATAAAAATATATATATTTTTATATTTGTATATTATATATCACATATATTTAGAGACGGGGTTTCACCGTGTCAGCCAGGATGGTCTCGATCTCCTGACCTCGTGATCCGCCCGCCTCGGCCTCCCAAAGTGCTGGGATTACAGGCGTGAGCCACCGTGCCCGGCAGAAATAGGCATTTTCAAGTGACTGGAGATCATTCATTACATAATTAAAGTAAAAGTCTGCAGGGTGTAATATTTTAAAGCACATTACAATTATGACATTTATGAAATAATTCCAAAATCTGAACTACTTTTTCAACAATTTAAAAAATCTCCAATAAAAAGGGGAATGGTGAATTTTGCTTTATTTATACACATTTTTTTAAAACCCCAGCACTGTCGAGTACTAGTGTTTGTGTTGGTAATACGGTTTAGTGGGAAAAACACAGAGGTTTACTGCAACTGTTGACCACCTGGGTGAGAAAAAAGTCACTATATGTGTAAAGTATCGTGTAAAGAACAACGTTAAATAGCTTGATTCTAAGAGAATCTGTTTAGGTTTACATGGTATTTTATTGACAAGCACATATATTGTATGTGACGAAAGCATATCACGTATAAATTAGTATATGTATTATGAGCTCAAACTGTCAACTTAGGTTCTTATTCTTAAGCGCTGCTGTCTCTGTTCACAACATAAATAGTGCTACTTTCATTATCTCAGGAGAGCCTTGGGGTTGTACATGGGACTAAAAGGGACACGCGATAAGAGTTCCTAGGAATAAACCATAAACAGGCCCGGGAGCTACGCTAACGCCAAACGCCGAGCATGGAGACACTCAGCACCCACTCCGCGCCTTGGAGGCGGCCGTCCACGCCGTCAGTGCCTGGCGGTTTCCGCGGGCCGCACCCTCCACTCGCCACGCCCCTCCTCCCGCGGCGCACCCCGCGCACCGGGCCCTGGCAGCCCGCCTCACGCACCGCTTTCCTCTCCGTCCAGCGCTCGCTGCAGCCGGGCCGTCTCGCAGTCCAGCGTGCTGGCCAGAGACCGCAGCTTCCCACAGAAGCTCCGGATAGGGTCCATGCTGAGCACACCCGGGAAGGACTCCAGGCGTACGCGGACAACACCCCTCAGCTCACAGCCTCCCGCCACTAGTTTGAATCGGCGCCGGACGCGTCCTCGGCTCTGCGCAGACGCAGTCCTCTCTCGCGAGAGCTGAAGTCTCTCGCCCAGGCGCCAGGAGACCCCGCGAGACGGGTGCGCTTACGCCGCAGCGTCTGCCGGCAGCCGCGGAGTCCTGAGGAACTGACCGGTGAGTACCTGTGCGAATTCAGTCCTGTAGGAAGCACCTTGTTCGCCTGCTGGCCTTAGCTGGGCTCTCCGCTTCTCTGGAGGGGAGGCGGTGCGGGAACTCCCGTAGGCGTGAGCTGGAGCGCGCGCCCGCTGCTCTCTCCAGGTCGGGCCGCGCCAGTTCGCGTCCGCAAAGCCCGTCCCTCTTTTCCGCAGGCACCATGTTCCTGACTGCGCTCCTCTGCCGCAACCGCATTCCCGGCCGTCAGTGGATCGGGAAGCACCGGCGGCCGCGGTTCGTGTCGTTGCGCGCCAAGCAGAACATGATCCGCCGCCTGGAGATCGAGGCGGAGAACCACTACTGGCTGAGCATGCCCTACATGACCCGGGAGCAGGAGCGCGGGCACGCCGCGGTGCGCAGGAGGGAGGCCTTCGAGGCCTTAAAGGCGGCCGCCACCTCCAAGTTCCCCCCGCATAGATTCATTGCGGACCAGCTCGACCATCTCAATGTCACCAAGAAATGGTCCTAACCCTGAGTCGTCACCCTTGGATTTTATGGATCACGGGGCTGCCCTTCTTTACCTGGTTCTGGAACTGAAAAACTGTAGCTACTGTGAAAATGAGCCTTTGGACCAGTGTTTATTAAAACAAACAAACATGAATAGTCTGCATATAGAATATCTAGGGCTCTAAACCCTCCAATACTTAAAAGTGTAATCGCTGTCCTGTCGTTTCTTTAGTCTGATAGGAAGATAGGGATTTCCTCAGTCACATGATATTTTGAAGGAAAGCTGCAATAAAGCCACAGACTATGATTTGAGGTCTTTGCTTAAGTGTGAGATACTTGATGGGGGTTTATCATGCAACATTAGTTTGCTTACCTTAAGAATTGCCCAAAAATAAAAGGAAATATGAGCTTTTTAGTTAAACATACTCCCACAAACATTTTCTGGGATTTTACTACTAAAAGTGGACATTTAAGCGAAGTCAAAGAGGCCGGGTGCGGTGGCTCACGCCTGTAATCCCAACACTTTGGGAGGCCAAGGCGGGCAGATCACTTGAGGTCAGGAGTTCAAGACCAGCCTGGCCAAGGTGGTAAAACCCTGTCTCTACTAATACAAAAATGAACCAGCCATGGTGGCAGACACTTATAATCCCAACTACTCAGGAGGCTGAGGCAGGAGAATGGCGTGAACCAGGAGGTGAGGCTGCAGTGAGCCAAGATCGCGCCACTGCATTCCAGCCTGGGC